ACACACATATATATATCTAACAACTGATCTTCTCTAGCTTGGCATTTTGCATTATAACCTGTCTGCACTAGACATGCCCTAACTTGAGGGCATGAATTATGATTCTGATCTTGTCTAATCTAGTTCTAGTTCTGATCTAGTGTCTAATACAGATCCAAGTACAGGAACTTTTCAGTTCAACGTAACTAAGAATGGCCAGGAATTTTTTCACGGTGTTTCTAAGTCAAAAGAAATGTGTTAATAGCTCTGTTTACTCAGTAGTTAGTGAACAACTTATTAAGTTGTTCATGTTCCAGCAACTTAGCAGCCATTTGAAAAAATAATGATACACATAATTTGAAAGAAAAAAATACACCATTCTTAAAGAACCACAACTGCTTATCAATGAAATCTGTATATCTGTAGGACATTACACAACTTCTCAAATGTTGTATTTAGACTGGACATTGGCACACCTCATTTCCTGTTCCATACTGATTTGGGCATAGTATTTTGTTTAGCAAAACCACCGCTTTGCAAAGATACGATGTCACGGAGGTAAATATAGCGTGACCTCATGTTGAAATGGCAAATAACCTTGAGCTCGTAGTCTTCTCGTGTCTCAAAGATCTCAAATATCACTGCGTTTCCCTTGAAAACTGTAAATATTTCACAGTGCCCTAGTTCACGGAGTCCTCAGCACATAGCTCTAGTGCACAGAGGTTCATTCAGTATTTGTATAATCTACCCCAGCTAGAATATTTATATGGTAAGTTACATAAAAATTAATCAAGATGTCTTTTTTAAAGAGAAAAAAAGTTGGTATAGAACTGGTGTCAGCAAATTTTTCTAGCCAGATGGTAAATATTTTAGACTTAGAGGCCATATAGTTTCTTCTAGCAACTACTGAATTCCGCCACTGTAGAATCAAAGCATATGGAGATAACATATTAATGAATGGACACAGCTGTGTTCCAATAAACTTTGTTTACGAAAACACATGGCCAGAACATGTGCCATTGTTTGTCAACTCTGTTAACAGAAAGTCTTTTTTTTTTTAATTTTTTTTAAAGATTTTATTTATTTATTTGACAGACAGAGATCACAAGTAGGCAGAGAGTTAGGCAGAGAGAGGGGGGGAAGCAGGCTTCCTGCTGAGCAGAGAGCCCTGATGTGGGGCTTGATCCCAGGACCCTGGGATCAAGACCTGAGCTGAAGGCAGAGGCTTTAACCCACTGAGACACCCAGGCATTCCAACAGAAAGTCTTTTAAAAGGTATACTGTTTTAGGGCATCTGAGTGGCTCAGTCAGTTAAGCATTCGACTCTTGAGTTCAGCTCAGGTCATGATCTCAGGTCGTAGAATCAAGCTCCATGTCAGGCTCCGTGCTCACCAGAGTCTCCTCGTCTCTCTCCCTATTTCCTCTTGTATGCACACTCTCTCTCAATGTCTCTCCCTCTCTCAAATAAATAAATAAATAAATAAAATATTTTTTTTAAAAAGCTACTGAGAAAAAAGGTATGCTGTTTCTACACTAAAGTCACTAAAAAGTAATAAATAAAAGCTAAGACTAAATACTATGAGTCCATGCTAATATGAATAAATGAAAAACTGAAATTTTTATGAGGAAAGGGATTACAAAGGGAAAGAGAATAACTTTACATAGAGAAGGCTGGCAGACACCATTGTAATTAAAGTGGCCAACATCAATAAAAGGATAAATAGAAATTGTATACCACTTAGTAGGACGCAACGAGAAAAATCAAAATCATTTGTGTTATTTAATGCAAAAATCTATAAAAGTTGATTGCAAGGAAACATCAAAAAGCCTGAATTGAGTGCCATTCTACAAACTGACCTGTAATCTTCATAAATGTTAGAGTCATGAAAGGCAAGGAAAGACTGAGAAACTGTTCCTGAAAAATAGTGATGAGGGAAATCTGATGACCAAATGCACCATATGTAATATATAATTCCAAACTGGATCATTTCACTACACAGAAATTATTGACACCACCAGTAAAATTTGAGGGTGGTGTGAGAATTAGACACTAAAAATTATTCAGTGTTTACTTCCTAATTTCGTTGGTTATATTGTGTTTATACAGGAGAATGTCTTTGCTTGCCAAAAACACACACTAAAGTGTTCGGGATTGTTGGTTTATCTAATCAGCAGCTTACTCTCAAATAGTTCAAGAAAAAAGTTTTTTTTTTTTAAGATTTTATTTTTTTTGACAGACAGAAATCACAAGTAGGCAGAGAGGCAGGCAGAGAGAGAGGGGGAAGCAGGCTCCCCACTGAGCAGAGAGCCGGATGTGGGGCTCAATCCCAGGAACCTGAGATCATGACCTGAGCCGAAGGCAGAGGCTTTAACCCAGTGAGCCACCCAGGCGCCCCAAGAAAAAAGTTTTTGCTACTGTACTTACAACTTTTCTATGACTTTGAAATTGTTTCCATTAATTCTAGAAAATGGAAACTAACCTATAATGACAAAAAGTAAATCAGTGGTTTCTTGGCAATGGAGGTTGGGTGGGGAGGGATGGAAAGGAGGGATAACAAAGTAGCATGAGGAAACTTTGTTTGGGTAGTGGATTATGAAAAAGCTTGATTGTGGTGATGTTTCACAGGTGAGACATATGTTGAAATTTATCAACTTGTACAGTTAATAAGTGCAATTAATTTTATGCCCATTATATCTCAAGTAAAGCTTTAAGTAAGACATTAATTTTTTTTAATTTCTCAAATTAAGCTGTGAAGGAGCAGATGTACAGGGATTTTCAGCAGAACAGCTGGCCCTGCTCCCATCCCAGGTGATTTTCTCTCATTTCCTCACCAGGCAAACACAACTCATGGAATGTACAAAGACAATGATTACATATAGCACCATTCTCCTTTATTTCAGGCATGAAAGTAGATAAATTTCACTCAGTTAAGACTTTAATGAACATTACTACATTCTCAGCACTGTGTGAGATAGGGAAGGAAAGGAAGTAAACATAGTTAGGACATCGGTATATATCAGGAAAGGAAGAAGAATGGTGTCTGCCCACCAGGATTGTATACATCAGTTGGGTAGGCAAGACTGACATATAAGTTCACTATGGGAAACACAATATATAATTAAGTACTATCTTACATAAATGAGTCAGCTTCATTTCTTACCCCACCCACCTCAACCTCACCAGGAAGAGTAATTGTTAAGTACCAAAGATGCACAATTAAGAGACACATGGAGGGATGCCTGTGTGGCTCAGTTAAGTGTTTGCCTTTGGCTCAGGGTGTGATCCCAGGGTCCTGGGACTAAGCCCCACATCAGGCTCCCTGCTCAGCAGGGAATCTACTTCTCCTTCTGCCTTCTGCTCTCCCTGCACGTGTTCTCTCTCTTTCTGACAAATAATAAAATCATTGGAAAAAAAAAAAAAAGAAGAAACACATGGAGATAAGGGTGAAAGTATGAAACAGAGTTTACAGGATAGATCTGAACAAGCTGAAGACAAAGAACTATTTCTCCATGCTAGAACAAAAAGAGGCAGAGCCCCCAGAAGATCCCTGGCATTAACGAATTCATCAACACTTGTAACTACCTCCCTGTCACCTGAAATGTCCATGATATTCCTGAGACATAAATGTAAATGCACATATTGTGAAAATGGCTATAGGCAAGGAGTCAATTAATTGGCAATTGAACAAACTTAGCTGACCACTCAGAATCCACATCAACATTAGCAGGGTCTAGAAGTCAGAAGGCAAGTGGAGGCTTAGGATATATTTCTAGCTCTGAGATTATCCAACTGAGATCATTAATGAGTAATATCTGAGATAGCAAAATATTGAAATAAATCTGATATATGCAAACAATGAAAATTAAGGCAAATTTCTTTCTTACAGAACTTCTTGAAGCCTATAATATGCAAATGTGCACTGCACAACTAAAAGGTGCATATATAGCATTTCACTTAGATGAGGAGTCATTAAAACATTGAAGTATACAAAACATCTAACATGCAGATCAAATGAATAAACAAGCGCTCTTCTGAGAGGTATGACATCAATAACAACACAACAGCTCCACGTGACGCTTCCTCTGAGCCTCACATTGTTCTAAGGTTTAGTGCTTTATGTTATCTTGACAACAACTCTATGATGTAATTATGACTGTCTACCCCCTATTTTACTTTAAGGAAAATGAGATACAGAAAGGTCAAGTGAATTCCTGAAGGTCATTTGGCTAGAAACTGGTCAAACCAGGATAGAGACTCAAGCAGTCTGGCTTTGGCACCCATGTGCGGAAACATTACATTATGTAACTTAATGAATGTCATTTTTACTCATCCATTTTAAAATAAATTTTTAGTTGGATATGAGCCAGAATGAAAAACAACTGTCATGGTTAAACAATCGTGATGACTAATTAATTTAATTTTTTTTTAAACCTGTTAAAAAGGAAACCACAGACCCAAAATGGCATCACTTAGGTTAAGGTCACAAGCCAGTAAACCAAGAGTTACTACCTAACTTAACTACAGTTTAGACCCCCCAGAAATGTAATCTGTAACCAGTCAACCTGTGAATTTCCTGGTCAGGACTAGGAAATTTACTGATAGGCCCCTTTCCTTCCCTTTAGGAGGGTGACCTTGCCTAAAACCATGGATCCTTTGCTAATAATTGCCTTTTTTCCACTCCCTCTCTACCTTTAAAAACCTTTCATTTTCTGTAGTCACTGGGAGCTCCCCTCCACTTGCTAGACAGGATGCTGTCCAATTCATGAGTTGATTAATAAAGCCAATTAGATCTTTTAAATTTCCTCAGTTGAATTTTTTTGTTATTTAACAGCCCTATTCAATGAAATTGGGAATGAGTGACAGGTGGTAAAAGATTTGTAATTATAGTTATGAATTATATAGTCACGATAATCCACAGTTTATTAAAACTAAGAAGCATTTCAAGCAAAGAATGTGCACCCCAGTCTCTTAATCCACAGTAAGGAAGACACTATGGAAAGCACTTCAAAAGAGTTCTCACCGTGACTCTCTTCATATCTAGCTGGCGCAGCTGCATCATATTCTGAAGGATTGTATGTTTGTACCATGACTCTTGAGCTATTGGATTGCCATCAAAAGTGATGTCTGAGAGAGAAGAAGAGTCAGCAAGGCAGCACACACTTTCAAAGCTGCAGGAGAGACAGAAACCACGAGGTTATTGTGAGACCTTCCAACAGTACTTTCATTTATTTAATATACATTATTGTTTTAGAATAGTTTTAGATTTACAGAAAAATTAAGAGAGCACATACTCTGCACCGTTTTCCCTATTATTAACACCTTGTAGCAGTATTGTACATTTTTTACAATTAAGTTACAATTATTTACAAATAATTTACAGGTAATTCATTCATTCCTTACTTTCCGGCACTATAAGATTCTCTAGACTCATATATTTCCTATCCCAGTCCTAGAATCAGACATTTCTCCAGGGAGTTATGGTTCCTTTAATTGGAGAATGGTCTGGAACCAAAGATCTGGTGGCTCGGTATACTTTTCAACACTGGGTCATCGTATTTTTTTTCATACCTTCTGCAGACAGAGCAAGGAAATGCATGTGTGTATACCGACCTGTGTGTATATATATTATCTATGATATGTAATAACCATCTATGTCTCCATTAAGCTGAACATGAGTTCACACTGATATTGCCCAACTCTAATCTATCATCAAAAGGATCCTTCCAGCCTCTTTCCCTTGCTTATCTGTAAATTCCTAATCCAACGAGGAGAAATCTGACTTACATCAGCTCTCGTCCATTTACTTAACTGTTCAATTCTAGAATATATGCATAGTGGTATCAAAATTTTCAACCTGAATCCCCATCGAAAACAACTTTATTAAATACAACCATTATGTGTAATTCCTTTAGTATTTAGTCTTACACATTCATTTCAAAGTTACTTTGGTCAGCACCTCCCCTCCTGCTACCCCTCCAGTGGGGTTGTTTCATACAGGTGAAATAACAGTTAGCTTTTTTTTGTCATAGTCTATATTCATTCCTTCCTGGGATCCTCTAACCGCCTAAATATTTTAATTTGCATACATTAAGATTTATATTGTGCTGTAAAGTTCTGCAGGTTTTAACAAATGCATAAGTATCATACACAATAGCTCCATGACCCTAATAATATATTAATAATAATAATATATTATATAATTATATATATGTAATAATAATCCTATTCAACCCTCCTTTTCTCTCCCTCAATCTCTGGCAACCACTCATCTTTTTACTGTCTTCATAGTTTTGCCTTCTCCAGAGTGTCATACAGCTGGAATCATACAGAAGGTAGCCTTTTCACACTGACTTCTGTTACATAGCACTATGCATTGTATTCAATGCATATTGAGTTTTCAGCTCAATTGGGTAAATACTTAAGATTGCAATTGCTGGATTATATTGTAAGACTATGTTTAGCTTTGTGAGAAACTACCAAACTTCCAATGTGGCTGTAACGTCTTGCATCCCTACTAGCTCCACATTCCCTTGAGCATTTGGTATTTGTCAGGTTGGGTTTTTTTTTTTTTCCACATTGTCATTCTGATAGTTGTACAGTGGTGTCTCATTGTTTTAATATGCAATTCCCTAATGTCAGAGGATGTTGAACAATTTTTCATATGCATATTTGCCATCTGTATATCTTCTTTGCATTTTCAGCTCTTGTGCCCATTTTTTTAATTGAGTTGTTTCCTTATTTTTGAGCTGTAAGAGTTTTTTGGGGGGGTTAAATTTTTATTTTAATTCCAATTAGTTTACATACAGTGTTATATTAGTTCCAGGTATACAATATAGTGATTCAACACTTTCATACATCACCTTGCGCTCATCATGACTCCTTAACCAACCCTCCCCATCCCCTTCCCCTCTGGACCATCAGTTTGTTCTCTCCAGTTAAATTCTATTTTTGGTTTGCCTCTCTCTCTTTTTTTCCCTTCACACATTTGTTTTGTTTCTTAAATTCCACATAAGACTGAAGTCATATGGTATTTGTCTTTCCCTGACTGACTTATTTCGTTTAGCATAATACTCTCTACGTCCAACCATGTCATTGCAAATGGCAAGATTTCCTTCTTTATTATGGCTAATATTCCATATACATATGGAATGGTATGGTGTGTGTGTGTGTGTGTGTGTGTGTGTATTTCCATATCTTGGCTATTGTAAATAATGCTGCTATAAATACAGGGGTGCATGTATCCCGTGAATTAGTGTCTTGGTATCCTTTGGATTAATACATAGTAGTGCAAGGGCGCCTGGGTGGCTCAGTGGGTTAAAGCCTCTGTCTTCGGTTCAGGTCATGATTCCAGGGTTCTGGGTTCAAGCCCCGCATCAGGCTCTCTGCTCAGCAGGGAGCCTGCCTCCCCCTCTCTCTCTGCCTCCCTCTCTGCCTACTTGTGATCCCTGTCTGTCAAATAAATAAATAAAATCTTAAAAAAAAAAAAAAAAAAAAAAAGGACCTCAGAGCCCATTTTGGGGCAGCTGGGTGGCTCAGTGGGTTAAAGTCTCTGCCTTCGGCTCAAGTCATGATCCCAGGGTTCTGGGATTGAGCCCCACATTGGGCTCTCTGCTCAACGGGGAGCCTGCTTCCTCCTCTCTGTCTCTCTCTCTCTCTCTGCCTGCCTCTCTGCCTACTTGTGATCTCTCTGTCAAATAAATAAATAAAAATCTTTAAAAAAATACATAGTAGTGCAATTGCTGAATCCTAAGGTAGTTCTATTTTTAACTTTTTGAAGAATCTTCATACTGTTTTCCACAGTGGCTGCACCAATTTGCATTCCCACCAATAGTGTACAGGGGCTCTCTTTTCTCCACATCCCTGCTAACACCTGTTGTTTTTGTGTTGTTGAATTTTTGTACATCATGGATATATATAAAAATATACTTATATACATATAATTTAACAAATATAAGATTTGTGAATATTTCTCCTAAGCTGTAACTTGTCTTTTCACTTTCTTAATAGTGCCTTTCACACGGTGGAAGTTGTTAATTTTAATGATGCCCAGCTCATCAATTTTCTCTTTCATGTATCATGGTCTTGGTGTTATATTTAAAAATTCATCACCAAACCCAAGAATGCCTAGATTTTCTCCTAAATTTCTTCTAAAAGTTCTATAGCTTTGTGTCTTATATTTAATCTACGATCCATTTTGAGTACAATTAGTAAAAGGTATAGGTCTATGTCTAGATTCTTAATGTGAATATCCAATTTTTCCAGTATCATCTTGAAAAGACTACCCTTTCTCTATTGAATTGTCTTTGCTCCTTTGTCAAAGATTACTTGACTATATCTGTGTGAATCTACTTCTAGGCCCTCTATTCTTTTCCATTGATATAGACGTCTACTCTTTCACCAACACCACACTGTCTTGATTACTGTACCGTAAGAGTTAAGTCTTGAAATGGGTTAGTGTGAGTCCTCCAATTGTGTTCTTCAGTACTGTGTTGCTATTCTAGGTCTTAGCTTTCACATACAAACCTTAGAATCCATTCGTTGATACCAACTTTCTGGGATTTTGATTAGGACTTTATAAAAACTGAGGTATAACTGACATAACTATATTAATTTCAGGTATATAGCATAACAATTCAATATTTGTATATATTGTGAAATGACCACCACGATATGTCTAGTATAATATCCATCTCCATACAGTTACAGAATTTTTTAATAGAATTTTTTCTCGTGGTAAGAACTTTTAAGATCTACTCTCTTAGCACCTTTCAAATATGCAATACAGTATTATTAATAATATATTCCCATGACTAAGTTATTTTGTAACTGTAAGTTTGTACCTTTTGACTTCCTTCACCCTGCCAGCTCCTTGCCTCTAGCAACTACCAATCTGTTAACTGTATCTATTAGCTTGCTTTGCTTTTTTTTGTTGCTGGTTTTTATTTTTGTCTTTAGATTCTACATATAAGTAAAATCATATGGTAGTTTTTTTTCTCTGACTTATTTCACTTAGCATAATGGCCCAAAGTCCATCCATATAGTTGCAAATGGCAAGATTTCATTCCTTTTTATGGCTGAATGACATATATCCATTATTGATCTATCTATCTAGCTAGCTGCCCATCCTACATTTTCTTTATCCATTCATCTGTCCATCGACTTTTTTTTTTTTTTTTGAGAGCGAGAAAGTGCACAAGTGGTGAGGAGGGGCAGAGGGAGAGGGAGAGAAAAAATCTTAAGCAGACTCTATGGCCTAACACAGGGCTCGATTTTACAACCCTGAGATCATGACCTGAGCTGAAATCAAGAGTGAGATGTTTAACTGAATGAGCCACCCAAGCGCCCCTCTCCATGTACACTTACATTGTTTCCAAATCTTGGCTACTATAAATAATGCTGCAATGAATATGCAGATATCTTTTCAAGTTAGTGTTTTCATTATCTTTGGATAAATACCCAGAAGTGGAATTACTCAATCATATGGTAGCTCTATTTTTAATTTTTTGAGGACTTTCAATTTTCAAAGTGACTACTCACTTTTCTAAATAACACCCCAGAGCAGGTTAATAAAAATTATTTATATTAGAATCATCCTCATTCAATTATTATTCAAATAACTAATGTAAACATTTAAACCCCAAAATACTTCCTTTACTCAGGCACTATATTGAATATCTCTTCTTTCTGTGTTAAGAAAAATAAGAGGATATAGAATATTTATGGTATAGAAAATAAATAATATGTTGACAATTAAGGTCAAGGCAAGGTCTATAGCAAGAATGAAGTTTATTATGTTTTTATTGTCACATTTAAATATTCCTTCCATGTTTTCCTCCCACTCAAGGTAAGAAGATCCTCTCCTATCAATTTTTTTACCTTAGAGATTATTTTTACCATCTAATAGGCAAATCTCACAATTCATAAACTCATTATGGTTTTTGAGACATGTTTAGATAATTATGAGAAGGCATTTTCCCCCAGTTTTGCTGAGAAATAATTGACATACATCATTATATAAATCTAAGGCATACAGCATAATGCTTAGATTTACATATATTGTGAAATGATGACCACAACTGGTTCAGCTAACATCCATTTTCTCATATAGATACAATACAAAGAAAAGAAAGAACAAAAGAGAGAAGAAAAAATTTCCTCCTGGTGATAA